CAGTCATATCTTATAAAATGTTAGCCTCGCCCATCCTCCCTTATTTTCTTGGAAGATATGTCATTTACCAAAGACAGTTTTATCTTATCAAGGACTAGCCCCGCCCACCCGATCTCTATTTTCTTGGAGGGTATGTCATTTGCCAAAAGTAGTTTTATCTTAGCAAGTACTAACCCGCCAACCCCCATTCTTCTCATTCTAAGGACTAATTTTATTTGTGCTCAGTATAAGATCCTTCATTTCATTCAGACCGGATAAAATTAATCACTGAAATGAAGGCTGTGTGGGTGGGGCTAATAATGTACTTCTATGGAGTGGGATTGGAAACTAATAGAATCTAGGACGTAAAAAAAGTAAAAAAAGCGCCAATCGTAAATTCTTTGTTATACAATTTGCTACTGCGACTGTAAAAATTGCTATATTTCAGGAGAGAAATTTTCGAAGAAATGAGGCCAAAATTGAAGAAAATGTGTAGCTAAGTTTCGAAAATTGTTGTAAAATGGGTGAAAATCTCAAAAGTGTCAAAATTAGTGATATTTTATAAAATGTTAAAAAACACATTTAAAATGGTAAATTTTTGTAAGGAAATATGTATTTTGCAATTAGGCTCCGCCCCTAGGTCTGCCGACGAATTACAACTTCATTAATATTTAGATTAGGGCATGTATGGCTGGGGCTTAATCTTTGGCTTTAATTTTTTCTTAATATGTATACATTATATATTCTTTGAATAACACGATACTCAAAAACATGTCTTACATGGTAATTTCTTGTAGAGAAATAATAAAGATTTTGCAATTAAATTCTGCTCCTTTGGGTCTCGACTATTAAAAAAAAAAAAAAATTCACAGTTGAGATAGGGCGGGTGGGCGGGGCTTATAATTTGCGTTTTATCTTAATATACGTAGGCGTCTTTTCAGAACAAGGGACTTAAAACATGTTTAAAATGGTAAATTTTTGTACAGAATATCGCAAAATAGAAAATACACAATCGTAAAAGAGAAAATTGGTTTCCGGGTAAAAAAATTGGTCAAAGATTATTTAAACAGAAGTTCCGTCGCCCGTGAAGTACAGGCGAACATATCCTGAGTGTTTCCATTACAAAATTTTCTAATAACACCATTATCACAACAGTACTGTATTCCCAAATTTTCGAGAAAATGGAGTGAGCCATTTTTAATTTAATCAATAAAACAAATTAACTCATTCATTAATTTTTTTGAGCCAGCTTGTATAAGTAATTCTGAGAAATATAATTGCACTGATAGATGCAAAGTTTAGATAGAATTTATTCGGCAAAATTTTGAGATGACGTCATGAATTTTGGGGGATAAACGATTACATTTTGATTAACGATTTCCCAAAAATCTGGATGCCTAAGGCAAAAAATCAAGACAAATTATATAATTTTCACGCGTAAAAGTATGTTGTTTCATAAAATTTAATTAATATTTACTTTACACATTTCTGATATGACGTCATCACATTGTTGGTGATAATGGTTAGACAAAATTTGATTAGCATTGTATATTCTATACGACTTTCACAATTTTCATAACACACTTATAAAATTTGGCAACAATTGGTCCGACAGTTTCGGAGATTATTTGTCTAATAAAAATCGACATACACAACGGACAAACAGGCAGACAGGCGGAAACGAGAGACCTGCTTTTTTTATAACGTAAACAACGAAAATTTGTCGCCAAATTCGTAAGATAGGCAACACAAAATTCAGTAGAATCTGGTCGTTCTTGAGGTCAGTGGATAATAAACATTTTTTTTATTAGACTGGAAAACAACAGTACTGCCACCCCAGTTTTTAAAAAACTTAATCCACGGCTCGCTATAAGGGGAGTTTCTTTTTTCGATCAGATGGTATTAAAATAATACCTTAAATCATGTGCGTGGTAATATTTACTAAAGATTTTCGAGAAATTTTTAGGGGATTTCTATTTTTTTTTTTCTTTAACCAATAAGATTTTAAAAATCAAAAAATATTATTTTTGATTTATGAGTATAATAAATTCCAGGGTAGTGTAGCCTGGGCCCATTACAACCAACAAATATTTCCATTTTTTTGTTAATTACATAATTAACTATTTTAATATAACAGGACCTTGACATTGCACTGATTTCAACAGTTTAAATTTTGTCACTTGTTTAGATTGAGATAAACCACAGTTTTATTTATTATAAAATCAATGAACCATTCTTCTGAACGCATTACGGTGAAGTCCCATTGCCTCAAGGAAAAAATCCCACCAGGTTTCAGAATGGGTATAAATAAGTCACTCACTTCGCCTCTTCCTCAGTATCATATTAGTATAGTTGGCACAAAGGCACGATGAGTACACTTACTCAGCTATAATACCAACAACGTTTGCTTTAATTAGTAATTTATCACAAATCAATTCTTTATCTCTAATATTTAAAAATATCATTTCGTTTTTTTGACGTTTATTCTATTTGACAATGACATTTGTAACGACTACCAATCTTGAAAACATAAATTACACTAGTTCTATTAAAGCATTCAATTTAACGCAGTAGAAAAAAGGCGTTTCTAATTTGCAGACCACGGTTTATCTTGCAGACTGGGGGTTAAAAATGCTCCAATCAATTCAAAACTCAACATTTGCTTATTTCTCAATGCGAAGATTGTCGATACAAAATATCAATCCGTTTGGAGAAATCGTTAAAAAAAAGGTTGTTTTGGGGGTGATTTTTGAGGGTTTCTTCGAATAGGCTGAAATTTTGTATCGATAATCCTCGTATTGAAAAACTAGCGAATGTCAAATTTTGACTTGATTGGAGTATTTTTAAGCCCCAGTCTGCAAGGTTGTTTTGGGGGTGGTTTTTGAGGGTTTTTCCGAATGGGCTGAAATTTTGCACCAATAATCCTCGTATTGAAAAACTAGCAATCGTCAAATTTTGACTTGATTAGAGTATTTTTAAGCTCCAGTCTGCAAGCTTGTTGTAGGGGTAGTTTTTAACGATTTCTCCGAACGAGTTGAAATTTTGTGTCAATAATCTTCGTATTGAGAAATTAAGAAATATGTAGCTTTGACTTGATTGGAGCAATTTTAACCTCCAGTCTGCAAGGTTGTTTTGGGGGTGATTTTTGAGGATTTGTTCAAATAGGCTGAAATTTTGTATCGATAACCCCCGTATTGAAAAACTAGCGGATATAAAATTTTGATTTGATTGAAGTATTTTTAATCCCCAGTCTGCAAGGTTGTTTTGGGGGCAGTTTTCAACGATTTCTCCGAACGGATTCAAATTCTGTATCAACAATTTTCGTATTGAGAAATTAAGAAATACCGAGTTTTGACTTGATTGGAGCATTTTTGCCCTCCAGTCTGCAAGGTTGTTTTGGGGGTGATTTTTAAGGGTTTCTCCGAACGGCTTGAAATTTTGTATGAACAATCTTCGGATTGAGAAATAAGCGACTGTCGAGTTTTGACTTGATTGGAGTATTTTTAACCCCCAGTCTGCAAGATAAACTGTGGTCTGGAAATTAGACAGGCCCATCGATCATTGCCACGGAATCGAACCTAATTAGAAATGTCGAGCTTACATAAAGTAAAGGAAGGATTAACTCCTATTAAAACTCCTCCACCTCTTGTACAATTAATACGAGAAAAGTTTATGTCACTTCTATAGGTATATTGTGTAATTACTTGATATTCTGAGTCTAAAACTGTGTCATTCATAAACGATTCAGTGAATGCAAATATATCAGAATGGAAAACATTTATTAGATAACTACTCAGATCATTTAATTTACTGTTAAGACCTCTTACATTCTGATAATAGATTATTAGGTCTCTCATGTACTGAGTGAGAGCTATTGCAATTAACTGAAAATGCTAATCCGGAAAAAGAAGAATTGTCTCTGATATTAGAGTTTAATTGCTTTTGTGAATTAAATAAAATTTTATTTAAGTTTTCGACATGAGTTTTGTAGACCGTGCATTTGTTTTGCTACTACAAAGGAAACATGGAAAAACCTTTTCATTTCGGCGATTGATGTCGCCATCACATGCTTTACACGTTCCCGGCATTACTAACTCCTACCAAAGGTGAGAGGTTCACCTTTGATAGGAACCGGCAAAAAGTGAGGCTACCCAATTGATAAAATTACTAGTTTTCTTGCACACATTAATGAAACAAACTACACAGAGAAAAAACGACTAAACAGATGCGAAAAACAATTACACTGTTCTCAATGCGAGAAACGCCCTTTTATATGTCTCATTCAGTGTAAATTTGTTTCCTCAAACCTAACAGGAAGGAACAGATTTTGGAGCACAACACACATGCACACATGCACTATCACGATCACACGATATCATATAAAATTGTCAAGTGTCAGAATTAGTTATAGATGGCATGGAGTGTACCTTACTGAAAAATTTTTAATTCAAAGCGTCCCGCGTAGTGTGAATCATTATATAGAAATCATCCCCACCAACAATTTCATCACATCATCTCGAAACTTTATATGATACATGTTAAAAAGTTTTTCGACTGTATTTCTTAGAATAATTTGAACTACAAATTAAGTCATATTACTTTAGTGCTAACTACATACACTACAGTGTGATCAACAACAAGTATTGTTTCAGTGGTTATCAGTGAATTTTGTTTAAAATTGGTAGACCTACACCTTGCTTCATGTTACCAAAACTGGCCTGTTAACAGTGGCGGTTAATTTACGTCACAATTTGTTATTGATTTTTATTAAATTGGTAAAATACCATAAGCCATAGCCAAACTTTCTTGGGCGTTTAAAAGTGACATCGCGCCAAGCATTTGAATCAGGATGACAATAGCAGCACAAAAAATGTTTAAATCATGACTTATGTATGTTTCTACAGAATGGTTATCAGTACTACACTCCAAAACACAATTTTTAATGGATTGTCGAATAAAGGGGCAGTTTATGGACTGTGGATAGTACCATAATTGAGATCATTATGATTGAGTTGAACATAAAAAGAATAAAACAATTTTATTGTTTTGTTAAATTCATAATGGTGCCATTGATTGAAATGTATTTAATTAATCACGGCACACGCAGACTTTTTCATCGTTACAGTAACCCCCTCTGTGTCCATGACCCATACAATGGACAGAGCAAGCAGCATCACTCCCCAAAATGTCGCAGGTGAACCTTTTGACACGAACGTGGTCTGAAAAAATATTTTTAATTAATTCTTTAAAATGTGTGCAAATGAATTTACCTTGCTGAGTAGACTCTACCACGTGCAACCCTTCTTCTCCAGTCGGCAGCGAATTAACTTGGCAGCTGCACACAAAGGCAAAAATTGCAAGAGCGAAAGCAAGTGTTAGCTTGTTCATGATGATGTAGTGTATATTGTAGTCTTGATACTACTGCCACAAGAAGTCAGAGACTGCTTTATATAGCTAGCGATACACGAGAGGATATCTTAGACGGTTCTTCCCCATGATTAATCGGAGCAGATAGTACAATTTGGCAAGGTTGATAAGTGTTACCAAAGCGTATTTTGTTTTCAATACAAATGTTCGAAATAACTTTCAACCAGTTTTTTTGAAGTGTAAATGCAACTGAATGCTTACTATATACAAATAAGAAGATAAAATGTTTGTGCATTTTAAAAACACTTTTCACTGAAAAAATTGGTCTAAAATATTATCTTGGAGAATTTAAAAAAATTGAAAATGATAACATCTATGAGTGAGAAGGTGTGTGGACTATTAAAATGCAGGCAAAGAAGCATGCTATGCGTGTGTTTCAAGTAATTTTTCAATAACAAAATTTTGTGATCATATCCACATTTTTTAAATTAGGACTCATAATTATATTCATTTGGATAGGTGCAGTCTAATACGAATAATAACAGTACTGTATAGTTGAATTTTCGGGAAAATAGCGTGAACCGTTCTTGGTTTGATTAATACAATAGATTACGTTATTCATTTTTTTTAGTCACCCTGCGTAAGTATTTAATAACTATGTTACATATTTTAGATAGAACTTATTCCGTGAAATTTTGAGATGAATGAATCACCAATATTTCAGAGTATTTCACATTGCAAAATATTCTAATACTACTAATAATTCTTTGGCGTTAAGTTTTGTCTGTGACTTTAGCAGAGCAATTAACCCCCTCGATGTAAATACAGATGTTTGCAGCTATATTTAAGTTCTTTGGTTAGACAATTAACAAATTAATATTAACAAAAATAGTATTGTTTTCATTTTTATCTTAAATCTATTAGGAATAGTGTTTTTTTTTTTCAAATTGTGAAAATTTGACAATTGGTCTAGCAGTTTCAAAAATTAGCTATTTGTTGGATGGACCCTATTTCAATACTTCCTTAGCTTTCGCTCGGGAAGTAAAAAGTAACAGTTCCTACATTTCATGAAGGGAATATTCAGTTTCAACACATGATCAATGTGTTAGGTTGGCAATAAAAACGTTTTTTTAGAGTGTCATTGCAGAATGTTGTCATCTGTCATTTTGTCTTATGTTTCGTTGTATTGTTTCTTGATTATACTACTAGTTTATTTGAGAGTGAATTCTTTTCCCGCTGCTTAACCTGCTTAAAGTCATCAGGTTATGTGCCCAGTTGGCAAAGAAAGATAAGCAGCAAAAGCAGAGAGCGAAACTAGTAGGAGAACGTAAATTAAGTAACGGCCTTGAAACGATCAACGACTCGATAGCGTTCTTGAAGAAAATGGCTGACGGTCAGAGTAGAATAGGGTATTCCACGATTTTTTTTTTAATGCACTACACGAAAGAATATCGTCTACAAAATGCGAAGATGTGGTCAATATTTTTTTTTTACTTTTCAATAACTCAAAAAAAAAAAGTTAAATTTAAAGTAATTTTTTCCCGCGGTTAAGTTGTGCATTACGTACGTCATGATGACGTACGTAATGCTGACCAATGGGATCAGCGTAGCGATGTGGCAACTCGGCTCACGTTGCTTTAAAGTTAGACGACATCGGTATTTAGCCATCTTGAATTCTTGTTGGGTTATGATAGGTTAGGTTTATTTATGTTTGGTCGATCTTAGTGTTAACGTTTTGTAATTTGCTCTCATTGATGCTTAAAATAATTTAAAAAGTCAGTCGTTTCCATTATTTGACATTGTTTGTTTAAACACGGTGAGTAGAATTGGCCGTTTAATATTTACCACTTACCAAAACCTTTTACAGCGACTTACAACTTAAAATTGTGTAGGAAGATTATCTGGGAAAATACGGCACAGAATAAATAGTCACAATGGAAAGTGAATATGAGCAAGCTACTTCTACCAATCTCCCTGTAGTTGATGATGTAATGATAGATTTGTATTATCGAAGAAATGTGAATTTTCTGATACCAGGTGTTGAAAATGTGAAAACCGAACGGTAAAGTGTACAACGTAATAATGATTTGATAGTAATTATTCATTGTTATAGTGGAGCTCGTGCAACTTACGGCGACGATGCTGTTGGTTATGTGCAGTTGAGACGACACGATGAGATTTGTACTGTCAAAGCTTTGATTGCACCAGAACATAAAGTTCGCCTAAAAGGCTATGAAGTTTCAGTAAGAATAAATGAGTCTGAACAATGCATAATTGACTCAAAATGTTATTACTGTGCTGCAAGTGAAGGTATGAATGATTTTATGTTGTATGAGTGTATGTATTACGTCTACTTTTCAGGTGGTTGTAAACATGGTGTAGCCTTACTGTTCTGGTTATACAGACGTACCTTGGAGCCTTCAGTGACTTCTGTTGAATGTTATTGGAGGAAGTCTACTCTGTCTAAAGTTGGCAGTACTATAAAAGGGCAAAGAATGAGAGAGTAGTTTAATTTTTGGCAAGTTCCTTCTTTACCAACAAAAGGAACGGCATTTTTGGACAAAGTAATTTCTACCGCATTAAAATCAGATAGTCATTCAATTCTTGCTACAATGTATAAGAGTGAAGTGAATATTTTGGAGAAAGCTTCGTTGTACCATTTATGTCTTTCTTATAAAAAAACGACTGATGCACCAAATGCAGAAGACTTCATATCGTTTTGCCAAAATAATTTAAATAGTGAAATTTGCAAAAGTATAGATACTTTAACAATATTGCAGTCACAATCTAAAGCCTGGTTTGATGTTAGATATGCGAGAATAACAGCTTCAAAGCTGCATGAAGTTGCTCACTGCAAAACTGTTGATGGAGCTACAACTGCTGCAGTTCTGGCAGCATCAAAATTTAGAGGAACAAAGACCATGAAAAGAGGCCTTAACCTTGAAGAAGATGTCTTAAAAGTCATAGCTGAGGAGAAAAATATTAAATTAGAAAGAGTAGGAATGACCATAAATCATATGTACCCAATATTTGGTGCCTCGGCAGATGCAATGTCTGATAAATATTGCGTTGAAATAAAATGTCCAATAAAGACAAATACTGTAAAAAATTACATTACGCCAGAGGGTGAAATAACTCCTAAACCATATGCACAACTGCAGCTGCAAATGTTTCTTAGTAAAAAACAATGGGGTTTATTTTGCGTTGCATCTCCATCTTTTGAAACGGACAGAAATGTGACTATAAAGGAAATTCCTTTGGATGAAAATTTTTGTCACAATGTAATGGAGCAGGCACAAGCTTTTTGGAAAAAACCGATTTTTCCAATTTTAATTAACTGATGTTTTCAATAATTATACTTATTTATTTCATAATTATTTCTTATTCATTTCAATAATAAATAAATCTAAATCCCGTTATACCCCAATCCCCTAGTATCAATAAAAAAAAGTTAAATGCTTCTATTTATACAATTAATTTATTGTTTCCAATAAAATACAAATAAAAACCATGTAAAAACTATTGTATTAATGGACCTTGCAAATTTATCAAACCACAAGCAACAATTACAATATGATCCAAAAGTGGCACCAAATTATGATCTGTGGTAGCATGTGGACCCAACATTCGAAATTCTCTGATCCTACGAATTAATCTTTCAATGTGGATCCTCAACGCTGCGACAAGTTTCGACTGACCTACCTCATCCTTCGTCATTTTTCTGGTGCTTGTGACGCTGGGAGGTCTGACTAGATTCACCTTTTTTTTCTGGAAAAGCCCTGCTACTTGCTTGAAGCCCCTATCGGTCATTACAGTTGCATTTTCAGCTACAACGGTCAAATACCCTGATTGCTTAATTATTTCTACATCTGATGTGCGACCTCCAAACCCTTCTGATATAAAATTAATTAGCCCATTTGGAGTACTTGACACTAAATACTTGCATGTGTTACAAGTTTTATAATTGCTCCAGGTTAAAGCTTGCTGATAAGCTGCACTAGGTCTTTCAATCTGTATTTCGAAGCAATCAATGATTGCTTCAACATCTTTATAATACGTCTGAAACTGCCTAGGTAGAACTCGCTGAATTTTACTTTTCTCAGGCCAAAAAATTAACTCATTGAGTTTTGTAGCTATTTTTGGCAATGTTTTTGAAAATATATTACTGACACCACTAGTGCTTAATGCAAAATCTGTCCCTAATCGTACAAATTGGTCATCTGTTCGTATTTTCTTAAGAACGATATAAATATGTTCTACAGGAACTTCTAATTCTTCTTGGAGTAATTTGATGAAAAAAAATTCTGACTTGGGCAAGCCCAGATAAAATCTGCTATTATTTTCAATTTTGAATATTTCCACTTTCACCAATAGTTCTTTGGATATCATATTAGTTTCATGCAATGACTCCGATGATGGCTCATAAACACTTCCACTTTGGAGTGAAAGGGAGGATGATGACAATGATGTCGATGATCCCTGAATAGGTTTGTGGGGGCTTTGATATATTTGTGACGATAATGATCGAAGAGTGTTTGTGCTTTTATCTGCCACTTCAACTGAGGTCATTGATGACTGATCTTTTGTGCTAACTCTTGTCTGAGTTGCTTTTCTAAGAGTTCTCCTTTTTGTTCTTAAAGGAGAAACTGATTTTTCTGGCGATTTTGCACTAACAAACATGCCAGATGGTGAAGCCACTGTTTTTAATTGCAGTTCTTCTACATCCTCTGTTACATCCTGTGAAGTACCAGGTACAGTAGGTTCAGGAAACAGTTTCCTTCGAAGCCCTCTACTGTGCTGTTGTGTTTCCATCTTACGTTTCCTTGAAGTTGGTGTGAATTGGGACGAAGTTTCTTTCCTCACCATGCTTCTTGGAACCACATTGTCTTTTAACATTAGGCGTGTACCCATTAATTTGAAATGAATCCAATTTTCAGCATCCTTTTCCAACTTTATTAAAGAAAATTTGTTAATAAGGTGATACAAGTAGATACCGACATACAAATTTTTGAAATATTTACTATACTTACATCAAAATGATCTTCACAACAGTACAAACTTTTCCCAGGTATGTATGTTCTTCCCACAGCTTCAAACCATAACTTCCTCCGATCCACTTTTTGGGGAACAGTAAGAAATAATTTTTCTGGATTATTTGTAGAGTTATTATCACACCCAACGAAGAAACACTGTTTCGCCATCGTGCCAATTTTTTCTATTTAATTTGTTTATATTTAAGGAATAAAACGAACAGGCCAAGTTGATCAAAAACACGTGCACACTCTGACCTACCTCAATATAATAAACCAGCAGGTTTGGCAACACAGCATCGCTGCCATCGCTTCAAAGTGATTGGTTACACTTTTAACCGCGAAATACTGCAACTTTGAGCCGGTCTCTCACTCTTCTATTATTTTGACAATTTTTTTCAAAGCGATTATTTTTTATAAATAGTTCAAATTTGTTTTTTGTACATGTATTTAGATATTGTTTCAGAATGTTTAGTTAAAATTTGATTTTAAACTTTAGTGGAAAACCCTATTATAAAGTTGACAGGAAAAGAGAACTGGAACGTGTGGAAGTTTACTGTAACAATTACCCTGGAAGCAAGAGAACTCATTACGTTAATAAACGGCGACTATCCTGAACCGATTGAATTTAATGAAGACGGGAGTCGTAAAACAGAAGAGGTATACACGAAAGAAAAGCAAAGCTACAAAACGAAAGACCTGCAAGCCAAGGATTTAATCGTGAGTAGATTAGAAGAGAGCCCCCTAACCCACATTTTGACTTGTAGAACCGCTCGTGACATATGGGAAAAGTTAGAATCGATATACGAGCAGAAATCTCATCTTTCTGTAAATCTACTGCAAACAAAATTTTTTACTCACAAATACGAAAATCAGGGTATAGCGAAATATGTTGCAAGTTTAGAAGAAATAAGAGATAAATTATCCCAGTTCGGAGAGAGAATCACTGATCGAATGTTTATAACAAGCCTTTTAGTTGGATTGTCGAATGAGTTTAAACATTTTATCACTGCATGGGAGTCAACGCCAGAGAATAGACAAACAGTAAATGAACTAGTCAGTAGATTGTTAATTGAGGAAGAACGATTAAAAAAAGAAAGTCAAGGTGAAGCGTCAGCATTAGTAGCTGAGAATATTCAAAAAAGTAAGAATAGGTTCATGAGTATTAAGGGCAAGAAAGACAATAAGAAGCAGGGAGTCCATTGCAATATCTGCAAGAAAGAAGGGCATATAGGGAACAATTGCAAGTTCAGAAATGATTATGATTCAAATAAATGTTTTGTGTGTCATCGTAAAGGACATAGAGCTCGAGATTGTACATTAAAGAAAGAAAAAGACAAATCAGAAGTAGAAGGAAGAACAAGAGTTGCATTAACAACAATAGCTCTAATTAATAGTGAAGAAGTGTTTTCAGAAAATTGGTATGCTGACTCAGGAGCCACACAACACATGAGTAGCCATAAAGAATGGATGGAGAATTATGAAATATTAAACGAAGCTATAGATATAAAGATGGGAAATGGCTCAATAATTAAAGGAGTTGGAAAAGGTGATATTAACCTACTGATATTCGATGGCAACAACTGGAGAGAGAGTGAAATGAAGCAAGTATTGCATGTACCAGAATTGAAATGCAATTTATTTTCGGTGACCTCTGTAACAGATAAGGGATATTCTTTTGAGTTAAATCGAGAAGAGTGCAGAATATCTAAAGGAGGAGAAGTATTTGCATTAGGAAAGAAAGTAAACCAGTTGTACCAGTTATTATTTCAAGTAGAGAACAGTGAGAAGAACGAAAGTCGAGTTTATTTGAGTACCTATCAGAATAAAAAAGAGAAATTGAAAGTTTGGCACGAAAGATTGTCACATCAGAATGTTGCTCAAGTCAGATCAGTTTTGAACCAGCTTAAGATTTCATTTATTGATGATAGAGATTTTTTCTGTGAGGATTGTATGTTAGGAAAACTACATGTCTTACCATTCAAGTTAAGTAACAGTAGAGCTGATCAACCAGGAAAGATAATACACGCCGATGTATGTGGTCCAATGGAAGAAGAGTCACTAGGTGGAGCTTATTATTTTCTAATGTTGAAAGATGACTATAGCCACTATAGAACAATATATTTTTTGAAGAGAAAATCTGAAGCCAAGCAAAAGATAGTAGAGTTTCTAGTGTTAGCTGAGACTCAAACTGGAAACAGAGTGAAAATATTGAGAACAGACAATGGATTAGAAGAAGTTAATAAAGAGGTTGAGAGTTATTTAGCGAGTAAAGGTATTATACATCAAAAGAGTTGTCCATACACTCCACAACAAAACGGAAGAATAGAACGCGAGAACAGAACAATTGTAGAAGCAGCAAGAACTATACTACATTCAAAGAATCTCGAAAAGAAGCTATGGGCAGAAGCAATCAATACAGTGAATTTTGTCATAAACAGAAGTGGATCTAGTTCAGTAAAGAATAAGACACCATACGAATTGTGGTTTGAAGAAACACCAGATATACGTTTCTTTCAGATATTTGGATCAGAAGCGTTTGTTCATCAACCCAAAAATTTGAGAAAAAAATTGGATCCTTGTGGTAAAAAGGGAGTTTTTGTTGGATACGCAGAAGAGTCCAAAGGGTTCAGAATATATATGAGAAATGAAGGAAGAGTTATAATATCGAGAAATGTGATATTTAAACCTGAATCGAAAGAAGAATCTGAAGAGTTTACGAACATTCAAGAAGATCGAACAGAATACATTGAAGAATCAGAATCAACAATAAACGAATTTCTAAATGAAGTTGAAGAAATTGAAAATGAAGTTGAAGAAACAGAAAATGAAGTTGAAAATATTGATATCAATAATGAAGAAACTGGAGCAAATCAGCAGAACGTCAATGAACAAATAGTAGAAACTGAAGACGAGGAAGAAGATCAAAATGAAGCCACAAATCGTTATAATCTAAGAAATAGAAGTTGCTTGCGACAACCTAGAAAACTAGAGGTGTATGATATGGATTCATCATATGAAGAAGAAGACTGTGAAACAGCTCTCATTTGTAGTTCAATCTTAGATGATAATTTGTCGTATCACGAAGCTGTGACTGGACCGAATAGTAAGCACTGGAAAGAAGCAATAAAGGAAGAATTTAAAGCTTTAGAAGTGAACCAAACATGGATGATCGTAAGAAAACCAATAAGGAAAACTATAATAGACACAAAGTGGGTGTTTAAAATGAAAAGAAATGAGAAGGGCGAACCATCAGTATTTAAAGCTAGACTAGTTGCAAGAGGGTTCCAACAGAAAGAAATATTTGATTTCTCAGAGACTTATGCACCAGTAGCAAAGTTAACAACATTAAGAGTGTTATTGTCATTAGCAAATCAGTATGATTATAAAGTACACCAAATGGATGTTAAGAGCGCCTTTTTAAATGGAGAAGTTGGAGAAGAAATTTTTGTTTATCCACCAGAAGGAATGGAGTTGCCAGAAAATCAAGTTTTAAAGTTGGTGAAGTCATTATATGGTTTGAAAAAAAGCCCACATTACTGGAACAAGAAATTTAATGCATTTATGGAAGATAGTGGTTTTGAAAGATCAAAGGCCGATTTTTGTTTGTACATCAAAACTGAAAAGCATGCTAAAATTTACGTCTTACTATATGTGGATGATCTGATAATATGCGGAAATGGTAGAGTAGAAGATTTCAAGGGGAGATTGCAAAACCACTTCCAGATGAATGATTTAGGACCAGTTTCAAACTATTTGGGATTACATATCAAGCAAGAGAAAGAAAGTATTGTGATCCATCAGATATCATACTTAAAGAGAATACTGAAGCTGTATGGTATGGAAAATTGTAACCCAGTCTCTACACCTTTAATACCAGGAATTATGTTTCCGAAAAACCCATCACCAGACAAGGAAATGGAACACAAATGCAGAAAGCTTATTGGATATATTATGTATGCAATGTTAGGATCTCGACCAGATCTGTGTGCTGCAATTAGCATTCTTAGTAGATATCAAAACAGAGCCAGCTTAGAATTATTCGGAGCACTCAAAAGAGTTCTTAGATACATAAAGGGAACTCTGCACCTGAAATTGACTTATCTAAAGAGTAACACCAACAATAGAATAATTCAAGGTTACGTCGACTCAGATTATGCTGGAGATGAAGATAGAAAATCCACAACAGGCTATCTTATCAAGGTATTAGACAACACAGTATCATGGGCAACAAAGAAACAGTCTACGACGGCTTTATCATCATGTGAAGCTGAATACGTTGCGTTAACAGCAGGAATAAATGAAGCATGCTGGATCAAGTATGTTTTGAGGGATTTGAGAGTTGGAAGAACCGAAAGAATTCTAATTTTCGAAGACAATCAGTCTGCTATAAAAGTATCCCAAACACCAGCAAATACGAAGCGACTGAAGCACATCGATGTAAAATATCACTACATTAAGCAGTTAGTCGAAGAGGGAACAATAGAGTTGAAGCACATTTCAAGCAAAAACCAAATAGCAGATATACTAACTAAAGGAGTACCAAGAGATCAATTTGAAAAACTCAGAAGCGAGTTAGGACTGAAATGATTTGTAGTTTAGGATCGGTATTTTATACTGTATGTCAGAATTTAATTAATTTGTTTTAAAAATATTTTTATTGAAGGGGAGTGTTAGGTTGGCAATAAAAACGTTTTTTTAGAGTGTCATTGCAGAATGTTGTCATCTGTCATTTTGTCTTATGTTTCGTTGTATTGTTTCTTGATTATACTACTAGTTTATTTGAGAGTGAATTCTTTTCCCGCTGCTTAACCTGCTTAAAGTCATCACAATGTAAATGCTGAGGTCTCCACTATACGTCAAACGCCACTCGAACTCGCTGGATACATTTGTCAACCAAGGGGGCGCAGCTTAATGCAAAATACTCATTTATTTACAAGAAATTAAAGACATGTTTTTAAGTATCCTGTTATTCAAAGAATACTATGCATATTAAGAAAAAAGGTAAAATATAAACCCCGCCCACCCACCCTATCTCAGTTGTGATCATATTTTTTTATTCTTAGAAGCTTCTGGATGTCGAAGTCTCCAAGAGCTCAATTTCGAAAATGGTTGAAAAATGGTCTAAATTGTCAAAAGTGTCAAAATCAGTCATATCTTATAAGATGTTACCCTCGCCCATCCTCCCTTATTTTCTTGGAAGATATGTCATTTGCCAAAGACAGTCTTATCTTATCAAGGACTAGCCCCGCCAAAAGTAGTTTTATCTTAGCAAGTACTAACCCCGCCCACCCCCAGTCTTCTATTCTAAGGACTAATTTAATTTCTGCTCGGTATAAGATCATTCATTTCATTCAGACCGGATAAAATTAATCACTGAAATGAAGGCTGTGTGGGTGGGTGGGGCTAATAATGTACTTCTATGGAGTGGGATTGGAAACCAATAGAATCTAGGACGTCAAAAAAGTAAAAAAAAAACGTCAATCGTAAATTTTTTGTTATACAATTTGCTACTGCGACTGTAAAAATTGCTATAATTCAATTGAGGAGAGAAATTTTCGAAGAAATGAGGCCAAAATTGAAGAAAATGTGTAGCTAAGTTTCGAAAATTGTTGTAAAATGGGTGAAAATCTCAAAAGTGTCAAAATTAGTGATATTTTATAAAATGTTAAAAAACACATTTAAAATGGTAAATTTTTGTAAGGAAATATGGATTTTGCAATTAGGCTCCGCCCCTAGGTCTGCCGACGAATTACAACTTCATTAATATTTAGATTAGGGCATGTATGGCTGGGGCTTAATCTTTGGCTTTAATTTTTTCTTAATATGTATACATTATATATTCTTTGAATAACACGATACTCAAAAACATGTCTTACATGGTAATTTCTTGTAGAGAAATAATAAAGATTTTGGGTCTCGACTATTAAAAAAAAAAATTCACAGTTGAGATAGGGCGGGTGGGCGGGGCTTATAATTTGCGTTTTATCTTAATATACGTAGGCGTCTTTTCAGAACAAGAGACTTAAAACATGTTTAAAATGGTAAATTTTTGTACAGAATATCGCAAAATAGAAAATACACAATCGTAAAAAAGAAAATTGGTTTCCGGGTAAAAAAATTGGTCAAAGGTTATTTAAACAGAAGTTCCGTCGCCCGTGAAGTACAGGCGAACATATCCTGAGTGTTTCCATTACAAAATTTTCTAATAACACCATTATCACAACAGTACTGTATTCCCAAATTTTCGAGAAAATGGAGTAAGCCATTTTTAATTTAATCAATAAAACAAATTATCTCATTCATTAATTTTTTTGAGCCAGCTTGTATAAGTAATTCTGAGAAATATGATTGCACTGATAGATGCATAGTTTAGATAGGATTTATTCGGCAAAATTTTGAGATGACGTCATGAATTTTGGGGGATAAACGGTTACATTTTGATTAACGATTTCCCAAAAGTCTGGATGCCTAAGGCAAAAAATCAAGACAAATTATATAATTTTTACGCGTAAAAGTATGTTGTTTCATAAAATTTAATTAACATTTACTTTACACATTTCTGATATGACGTCATCACATTGTTGGTGGGAATGATTAGACAAAATTTGATTAGCATTTTATATTCTATACGACTTTCACAATTTTCATAACACACTTATAAAATTTGGCAACAATTGGTCCAACAGTTTCGGAGATTATTTGTCTAATAAAAATCGACATGCACAACGGACAAACAGGCAGACAGGCGGAAACGAGAGACCTGCTTTTTTTATAACGTAAACAACGAAAATTTGTTGCCAAATTCGTAAGATAGGCAACACAAAATTCAGTAGTAACTGGTTGTTCTTGAGGTCATTTGCATAATTTTTCAATTCATTACGTTATTGTTATTAGGACGTAAAACCACTCACTGTGGTTGGTAACAGTGGATAATAAACATTTTTTTTTATTAGACGTACTAACAATACAAATGAAAGACAACAGTACTGCCACCACAGTTTTAAAAACTTACATCCATGGCTCACTAGGGGAAGATTCTTTTTTCGATCAGATGGTATTAAAATAATACCTTAAATCGTTTGCGTGGTAATATTTACTAAAGACTTTCGGCAAATTTTTAGGGGATTTCTACTTTTTCTTCTTTAACCAATAAGATTTTAAAAATCGAAAATATTATTTTTTATGTATGAGTATGTATAATAAATTCCAGGGTGGTGTAGCCAGCGTTCATTACAACCAACAAATATTTCCATTTTTTTGTTAATTACATAATTAACTATTTTAATATAACGGGACCTTGACATTACACTGATTTCAGCAGTTTAAACTTTGTCACTTGTTTAGATTGAGATAAACCACAGTTTTATTTATTATAAAATCAGTGAACCATCCTTCTGAAGACATTACGGTGAAGTCCCATTGCTTCAAGGAAAAAATCCCACCAGAATTCAAAATGGGTATAAATAAGTCACCCAGTTCGCCTCTTCTTCAGTATCATTATATTAGTATAGTTGGCACAAAGACACGATGAATACGCTTGCTACAGCTATAATAGCAACAACGTTTGCTTTAATTTGTAATTTATCACAAATCAATTGTTTACCTGTAATATTTAAAAATATCATTTCGTTTTTTTGACGTTTATTTTATTTGACAATGACATTTGTAACGACTACCAATCTTGAAAACATAAATTACACTAAAGCATTCATTTTAACGCAGTAGAAAAATGTCTTTTAAAAAGACAAACTATGCAATCTAGATTTTTTTCGTCTAATTTCCGTTTGTCACAAATTACGATCAACCCAAAGAAGTCTTAAATATGAACACCATTCCGCCAAAAACTTTCTGAATTACAGTAGGCCACAACCGTGTGGTTGGCACACTTGACATTACGTCGGATCCAAAATTTTTACGGGTGATGTGTCTAAATTCTAGAACGACAACGATGTTAAATTAAAAATAATCTTTGGTTATTAAAACACGATAAAGAAAAATGTTCTGTTATCAGCTTTTTAATAAGGACAAAAGTACGAATTTTAAAACTGTCAGTGAAAAAAACTTCTAAAACCTTAATAAGAGTTTTTTGAAGTTTGAGAAAATTAGATAAGCCGGTTTTGAGTTAATAAAAAATATATGTGCAATATGCAAACTAATGCTTACACAGTAATTCATCTTGAAACAAATTTTGTAACAAATATTTATTAAATACATTTTTGAGATTGCGTCATCAACTTTCTTTTTTTTTGCCATAACCTGTATTGTATACGTACGCTTTTCGAAAAATTATAAAATTTGATTTGACAATTTTATTTTTATGAGAACTCTTATAACTTAAAATAAATTATGTAACGTTATTGTTAATGTAAATAAACGTGCTGTCCGATTTATTCAATAAAATAAATTGACTGATTCATTAATTTTTATAAGTCAGCCTGCATAAATGATAAATCACAAGTATAGATGCTACATATTTTGCCCATTTTGGATAGGATTTATTCGGCAAAATTTTGAGATGACCTCATCAAATTGACCCTTTCATTAATTTTTTGAGTCATCCTGTGTAAAATTCGACACGGATTCAGACACCACAAGTGCAGGAGTATTTTGTTCATAAAATAAAAAAAAAAAACTATTATAAATTTTAGAAATGACGTCGTCCTATTGATGGTGGGGATGGTTAGCCAAATTTTAGTTAGCGTTTAGCCGCCTACAAGATATTCCTAACATACATACAAAATGTGACAACAATCAGTCAGTCCAGTAGATCACTTGTGTAATAAAAATGGATACAGACATCAGACAGACAGACAGACAGACAGACAGACAGACAGACAGACGGAAACGGGACACCCCTGCTGTAGAGGTCATGACAGGTCGAGACAGTATGAAAATGGCAATTCGCCCGATGGCGATTAGCTTTTGCTCGGGAAGTAAAAATGATGTATTATTCAGCTACGGATAAAGTAACACGCTGTAACATAAGTTTCAAATGAAATATTATATTTACTTAATCTTGAAAATAACCAAAATTTCACCGTTTACACTCAGTAGTTTTGAAAATTATCTGTCCAATCAAATCGCCAACAGACAGTTATTATTGTTTCATTTGTAATTTATTTTTGTTTGATGTTTTAATTGTTTATTTGATTTATAGTCTATTATATTGATCTTTATGCTTCAATTGATATTATTTATTAAAATAAATACATGGATATTCAAAAAAGACAGGCACCGCGTGCCTATTAATATCTTCGATTTTTCTGCTAGGTTGCCGGCATACTTAAAATTTTAAGATGGCATACCTGATTGTCAAATTGAAATTTATGGCACGAAGATAGTACCTGTCATCTTCTTATCACAGTTGACAACTGCGAACTGACATGTAGTTACTAGCATTGCTGCAAATAATTCAGAATCACTGGTACTTTCATTAGATTTCAACCATCTAGGGACGTTTTTCATTCGTGACAATAGCTTACACTTGTTTTTGCAAAATTTGGAAGCTTTAGCCACCATTTTTAAGTGTCAAAGCACAATGACACAAGTGACAGATATAATGTGGATTTTAATATTCATTTGATGTATAAGTGACAGTGTGATATTAACTTAAATTTTTACACCATTGTGGTTAAACCCAGTTCTCTGTGTCTGTGTAGCTTATGAATGTGTAGGACTTTCATAGAAATTTGATATAGATATAATAGGTCATGCATTTTGTTTGTAATAAGTTAGTGCTGCCAGTACTCCAGATAGATTGTCAAATTCAATTTGAAATTTGACGTTTTATGTCAAAGTCGCGCGCTGCTGTGATTGTGGTATTTGACATATTAGAATTTTAGATTAAGCAGTAAGTACCAACCGATTTTAAAAATCCATGATCTACTAGACATCAAACATTAACGACGTTTCTTTGTCACTAAGTTATGTCTGGTGTCTGCAATTTTAAACATGCTCCTCAGATGAAATAAAAATTCGTTTGAGAACTTCTGATTTTCGAGGACCTCATTTGACATTTCCACCAATATGGCGGTTGTTATTTAGATTTTGACTTGACATAGAATATGTGTAACTGTCAAATTTTAATAATTATTTTAATTTTTCTGACTTAAAATTAACTTAAATCATGACAAAAACTAGTGACAGTTTTTTAATTTGTGCTGTCTTTCAATATTAAGGTGCCATTTCTACATGTAAGTTTTAGTCTTTTTTTAAGGTTAAATAATGCTGTCACTGTTTTTAAATCTTTAATCTTTATATTTTCAGATGAAAATGTAGCAGACGTTGGAATGCAAGACGGCTGAACGCTTTCCAATTAGAAAATAAATTGAGAAAAGAAGGAAAATTTATTATACTCCAGTTAGGGTTTGTTTCACACTTGATTTTTTTTATTAAATCTTAAAACAAGCAATGGCAGAGAATTTTGAATTTGTTAAAATAGAAGAAAATCAAAGTGCAGACGCTGAACACAACTTTGACTGTACTGAAAATAACTTACAACTCAGTTGTAAAAGCTGCAATTTTCAAACAAATTTTTTAATTCAACTGAAAGAACATTCACGAGGATTCACACAAAACCACCAAATAACCCTCTACAAATGCAATAAATGTGCTTTTGAAACAAATTCCTGCCTCATATATTTAAAGCACATTCATCATAACCATAACCGTAATACTTACCTGAGGTACTCAGAAGATGAATATAATACAGAACCCATGTGGTTTAAGTGTGGTTTGTGTCAGTATAAAGCTAAAAATGAAAGTATGCTTCAAAGCCATCACTACTGGAAACATGAAGAAAACATTCATTGGTTCAACTGTGACCAGTGTCCCTATCAGTCGCGAAGAAAACACGATCTCAAAAGACACAAATTGGCGAAACACACAAATCCAGATGGCGTAAACTGGGAGGAAAAAGGTGTCCAATATCTTACTCGAGAGCACCCGAAAAGCGACACTTCACCTCTAAAAATTGCATGGATGTATTGTGAGAAGTGTTCATACAAAACTGTTGATAAAAGCGCGTACAAAAAACACGTAGTCAGAAAACACACATCTTCAGAAAACGTCGCTTGGTTTCAGTGTACACAGTGTCCTTATCGGGCTAAACTTGAAGAGAATCTACGCAGGCACATAAAGAGCCAACATACCAACCCTGAAAACATCCAGTGGTATTACTGCATGCAATGCTCGTATAAAACCAAGAGAAAAAGATGCTTAAGATATCACAAACTGGCAAAACACGAACTGTTGGAAAAAAGTAACGCTTTGGAAGCGTCAGAGTGGCTTCATTGTGAACAGTGTTCATATAAAACTATCCATAAACATATTCTATCACAACATCAGCTAAAAAAACATGCTACAAGTGACGGTGTTTCTTCGTTGTGTTGTGCACAGTGTTCGTATAAGGCGAAAACGAAGTTCGAAATAAAGATGCATCGAATGATAAAACATGTGGAGTCACATCCTATCGAATCAATTCAGTGTTCATTGTGCTCATTTCGTACCAAAACGAGTAATTATTTAAGAGAACATACGCTGCGTGTTCATCAGATGCGAGTTCAAACCGCCAGAAGGAAATAATTTATTAGGTGTAGCAATATTGTTGATGTTTGTAAAGTTCATGTTTCGTTTTTTATTATATATTTTTTTCAAGTTGATACAGTTATTATTTTATTTTAATTTAATTGTGTTGGCGTGTATTATACACAAAACAAAAATGATATTTAGTTACTACAAGTCTAAAGATGTAAATGTATAACAAACAAAAAATTTTTATGATATTACAGCAATTAATACTCTGTGAAAGCGTAACGTACAAAATTAATATAATCTAAAAAAAAAAAAAAAACAACTCTAGTAAGCTGTGCAATTTATTCAGTTTGACAGTTACAGTCAAAGAACTGTCAAATAGCGCAATCATTATTTTAGAAATAAGTTGTACAGCCTACTAGAGGTTTTTTTTTCGATAATATGATACATACTCCTACTTCAGATCAGAGTGAGCACTGTGATTTCCGGACTCATTTGAACATGCAATTCTTTACTTAAGTGAAATTAGTGCGTTAATTGAAATTTACCCCACCGTTGCATACAATAATAATTATGTACCTTACTTATGAAAAACAATTTACTTAATCTAAGTAATGTTTTTGTGAAATAATTACATCTTAACTTTATTGGGCGTGTTCAACAATATTTTTTTACTGCATTTTAAGAACAAGAAAGGGCTACATATACCGAGTGACTATAAATGTTTGTGATTTTTTATCAGGCTGACAACATTTATATAAAATTGTATGACGGTATACTGATTGTCAGATTGAAATTTATGGCACGAAGTTATTACGTGTCATTTTCTCATCGCATTTGTTAGACGTGCTCATGTCAAAATAGACAAGCATAAACTGACTTCCTAGCATTGCTGCCAATAATTCAGAATTGCCAACATAAAAATTTGCTCCAGCGATGTGACTTCAAAATTTTGAATAATAATTGCTACCTATTTAAATTTTATAAAATAACATTGGAATAAGCTATTCGGATTTTTTTTTAAGGAAAATATGCCAACAAATTTAACAATTTTTTTTATAAAACGTGATTTCCTGTCCACTGATATAAAGCGCTCATAAAATATTACTGTGCATTTTATTTAAGTGGGTAATTTTATACGGACATTAAGGTATCCTAAAGTTAGATATTAACCCATTTTTTATAGATATTTTTCTTCCCCAAAGTGCCCTTTTTGATTAGTCAAAATATCATTATAAGGTAAAAACTATGTTTAAATTCAAGTTGAGTAGTACAACTAAATAATCAAAGAGCATCTACATTCAAAGTTATCATATATATTTTTCGTGACATGTCAAAAGTTATTTTACATATATAGACATATACAGTCATACATTTTAGTTAAAAATATATACAGGTTGAGTCCATAAACGCGCGTTCCTCAGTATATCATTAATATTCTAAAATTCTAATGCGAGGTTACAAGTTGTTCCCAAGCCGATGGCTATTACTTTCATATTTTCCCGACGTTTCATAGCCCCTAAAGTATGAAAAATTAGGTCGCCCATTTCCGTCTGCTTAACTGTTGATATCTATCAGATAGATAATCTCCTAAGCTACAGGACTGATTGTTATCAAAGCTTATATGTATTTCGCGTAGATAGTAAAACGTTAATCTGCCATTTCCACCAACAAACAGTGTGATGATATCACCTCAAAATTTTGAATAGTAAATGTTAATTAAACTTTATAAAATAACATACTCTTGTAATTGTGGTTTATGAATCTGTTTTAATTTTTTACGTTAGATTTTTGGAAATATAACAACATTCTACAATTTCATTAGAAACTGCAAAAGTCAATCACTGAAACTTTAATTTAAGGTTATCCTAAGCATAATTTATTCATTTGTTCCCCACAAAAACTTGATGATAATGAGATTTATCATTTTATTATTTATCAGATCTGAATTTTTAACAAAAACAATTTTTCAACGCATTTATTCCGAACTTTACCTTCACCCTATTAGAAATTAATAAAACTTAATCATTTTATTGAACTCAAGTATTTACTTACATAAATGGTGATTGTAATATTATTTTATTCCTATACCGGTTGTCCAAATTTACCGGTTCTATTGTGGTATTTCAATTATTTGAAAAAACAGAAGTTCAAAATTTGAAACAAAGAAATCTACATATATGATATAATGTAAATTTTGTCAAAAACTGAGCTTTTGGAAAAGTTATCTAAAAAACTACAAAAAAATCATCTGGGAAAGAGATTTCCACGGGTTGATTCAAAAACATTGCTTATTGAGGGTCTGGGGTAAATCATTAGGAATTTTTTTTTTATTCTAAAAATTGACATATTTCCAGGAAAATGGTAAAAATTTTCGAAAAAATGAAATCGAAAATAATGTCGAGAATAAAAAAAACTGTTTCAAATGTCAAAAAAAAAAAATCAAAAATTTCATGTATTGTAAAAATGAACCTTCGGAAATTTTGACTAGGAATCACAAAAAAATTGATCGCGGCTACCTGGTTTGAAAAATATAACACGCTATAATAAGCAGGGTCAAGGTTTTCAAAATTGCCAGATATCATATTGGCAATTCTGTAAAAATGTAGGATTTTCAAAGATATATAGTCGAAAATAACGTCTTTCGGTAATTTCGGAATTTGCTCAAGAAAAAGTAAAAAATTTGAACTTTTAGAAAAATTGACTAACATTTGACAAATCTGCTATATACGACGACCTGAATCGAAAAATATAACACGTTTGTGATTCCGAATCAAAATTTTCAAAATATTCGGTTTAAAAATAAATTTTTTTCAAAATTCTAAAAATTGTCATATTTCATATTGGCGATTCTGGAAAAATGATGTAAGAATTTTCGAAAAAATGAAGCCCGAAAATAATCGGTAATCCTCGAATTTGGTCAAAAAAGGTCAAAAATTTCATGGAAAAACTGACGAAAGATCTATAAAAAAATTGTTATATGGCTATCCACGACCTGATTCGAAAAGTATAACATGTTTATGTTCTAAGATCAAGATTTTCAAAATATTCGGTTTGAGGATATATTTTTTTTAATACTAAACAGCGATGTTCCATATCGGCGATCCTGGAAGAATGGTAGGAATTTTGGAAATATTGAAGCTGAAAATAGGCTCTAGAAATCGAAAGCTATAAAAAACATTTTTGGTAATTTTCGATTTTGCTCCAAAAAAGATCAAAAATTTCATTCGGGAGATATTGAACCATTGAGTTTTTGGAAAGGAGATCGAAATCTATAAAAAAAATCTCTTCCGTAACTAAAAGTCCACGAAAAATTTCCTATAGAAATTTTGACGATCTGAATCGAAGATCGTCATAACCCCAGCCAAATTTTTGAAAAAAATTCGGTTTAAAAGTAAAATTTTTAAAAATTTTCTTTCAATAATTTTCGAATTTGGTCAAGAAAAAGGCAAAATTTTGAGCTTATGGAAAAAGTTACCAAAAAGCCACAAACAGATCTCTACGATATGAATCGAAAAATGTAACACGTTTACGATCCTAGGTTACGATAAAAATTGCGATATTGGCAATTCCAAAAAGAGAATAGGAACTTTCGTCGAAATAAACCCGAAAATAAAGTCTGGAGATCGAAATTTACAAAAAAATGTCTTTCGGTAATTTTCAACTTTACTCAAAAAAAAGGTCAAAAATTTTGTCTTGAAAATTTGAACTTTTGGAAAAAATTGACCAAAAATTGACAAATGAATCTGTTATATAATATAGACGACTTGATCTATTGGCGATTCTGGGAAAATGATACGAATTTTCGAAGAAATATAACCGAAAATAGCGTCTCTAATTAGTAGTATACAAACAAATCTTTCAGTAACTTTTGAATTTTCTCAAAAAAGTAACAAATTTGAGTTTTTGGAAGAAGTGACAAATAAAATACAAAAAATACTGCTATAATATATATCTGGATGACCTGGTTCGAAAAATAGAAAAATAAAACATGTTTATAATCCCCATTCAAAATTTTCAAAATATTCGCTTTAAAACAGATACACATAATGTTGTACTTTGACAGTTCAAACATATCTTTACTTTAATTTATAGTAGTTGTCATAAAAAAAAAACAGAATGCGGACAACTAAATTTTATATTTTTTCTAAGAAGGTGGATTTGTTGGATGTACTCTAGGAGCAGGTCCGTCGACCGACTCTCTACCTTTGCGTTTTCTCGACCTTTCATGACCCCTACAGTACGAAGAAATAGGTCTCTTAGTATAAATGGGTTTTAAACTGTAGAAAATAACATAGTCGTACACATGTAGTTTATGACTCCGTGTTCAGTTTTTGCCCGAAAGGTCCAGATTTTTGGAAAAAAAATTAAAAGTTATAAAACAACATTTTACAATTTAATTTTGAATCTGCAAAACCGAATGCTCTGAAATTTTGGAGATGTTTTAAAGTTATCACAAGCATGGTAAATTTTTGATCAAAATATATTTGCTTATCTCCCCCAAAAAATTGATGACGTCGTCTCAAAATTTTGCCGAATAAATCCTATCTAAAATTTGCAAAATATGGTCAGTCTATATTTATAATTTATCATTGCGGTTATATTTTTTAGATTTGCTTATACAGGTGACTCAAAAAATTAATGAATCAGTCAATTTATTTTATCGAATAAGTCAAGAATTGCAAAACTGAATACTTTGAAATCTTGCAGACGTTTTAAAGTTATTGTAAGCATTGTAAACTGTTAATCAAAATATATCTGTTTATTCCCTCCAAAAAATCCATGACGTCATCTCAAAATTTTGCCGAATAAATTCTACCCAAAATGTGCAAAATATGATGAGTTTTTACTTGTAATGTATCATTGCATTCATATTTTTTAGATTTGCTTATACAGGTGAATATAAAGATTTAATGAATGAGTCAATTTATTTTTTTGATTAAATAAGGAACGGCTCATTCCATTTTCCCAGAAAATTTTGGAAATACAAAACTGTTATTTTTTTAGTATTACACTACACCAATCCAAGTTGACATACGTGTCCTTTTGGTGTCCTTGTAAAAATGTTGATGACCTCATCACAAAATTATGTAAAGTAAAAACTCAATTCGAAAAAGCTGGATACGTTTCATTGTAATTTAGGTACAAGGGAAGGTCTGTCGAAACTACTTACGATCAATTTTTCTTTAGCCGCTCTTGAAAAGCTATAAAAGATCGTTACATAAAACGTTACTTTGTGGTTCAGCATTTTTTTTTGTTTATTAAAATTGCTTACACAGGACATTTGCAAAGAATCGATTTATTTTATTCGTTTTCTTTGGAATGACGCATCGAATTCTTCTGAAATTAATGCAGAATGTTATAATATAAGCTACATATTTCAAGGTCAACATATTTATTTCCTCCTGCTCTTCTAAAAGCTGATGACGTCATTAAAAAATTGATCTTAAATTATTAAAACACCTCTGAAGTACAATCAAATAAATCCCGTTTCTGCGATAAATGATCAAAATTGGTTCCTATAAGTTAATATAAGAGGTGTCTGAATAGTTAAACTACAGGTAGAGAAGCATGTTATGTATAGTTTTAAGTGAGTTTTTCATAATAGAATTTTGGAAAAAATGGGATATAAAAAAAGTGAGAAAAGGGCTTATACACTGACAAAACAGGTAACAAAAACGCCACAAAGAAGGCGACTAAAAATATGATTGTACTGAAGTATCTTATTGATGCATTATAGATATGATTTATTCAGTCAAATTTTGAGATTAAAGTCGCGATCTTTTCTATAGAACCACTCCCTAGTGTAAATTTTCAAAATTTGTTTGGTGTAAGTGACCTTGACGGGTTTCTGGGGGAAAACATAGGTGTCAAAAATTTGACAGGTTAGATGGCCCCATTGTCAATGTAGATATTTTATTTTAATAAACAGATGAACAGAACATACAGTCTGCACGGGATACAGTGCGGCATAACTGAGGGCAACCGAAACATTCGTGTTGTGCTAGTTTCGATTGCCATATCAACTACCGCTACCAACCGCGTTCGGCGTAAAGTACTAGATGACAGGGCTACCAACTTGACTTTTTATCGAGTGGTTCCGTAGAAATGACCGCTACTGTATATCTTTGTTTTTTAGAGCAGATCAACAAAAAAAAACTGATTAGTGATTTGTAATCTTCCTGATAACCTTAAAACATTTACAAGATTTTAGAACCCTCGGGCTTATAGTTTTTAAGTTAAGTAGTAAAGATTGCAGTCTTCAGGGGGTCAAGAACACAAATAATATACACTCAAACCGGTGTATAATGGGTTGCATAACTTTCCATGTGTAATATGTGATAATGAACGATTTTTTTCATTTCAGGTTTCTCTTGCTTTCGTCGAAATTTTGTTTTGGGTTTTTACATTCTAATTACTTTTCCTAAAACACTCCTCAAGATTCACCTGCAACATCTCACTTTATCATTGATCCCTGTCTTTGTCAAAGTTGATTGACATTTGTCGAAAAATAGCAAGAGGGGGGAGCATGACCGCCGCACCAACCAAACCGACAAAAAATAACTAGATTGAACTTCTCTCATTATCGTTTCTTCTTAAATTTATTCAATAACTTTCAGCAATAATTAATCACTGTGCTTTATTAGAGAGCCGGTGATTTTTAGGTAGTCGCCGCTTCGAAACTATAGACTTGAAGTTGTCGTTTTGTTGGCGCAAGGTTGGCAGTTTCTGGTAAATGGTAGAAGGGTAGACGAAGCAGGAACGTGGCGTCTTTGCTGTTTGTTCCTCCGAGCAGCAATAACCTCGGGTCACCCGCCGTCGTATATCCCCGCGCATACGGGCGCTTTTCGCTTGTGTTCAGAGTTCCATGACTGTTGGAAATATTTACCATCGTGTGACGACATACGTCTCTGGAGAGAGATAACCGCATTGAGGTCGTCCGCACGGGTCTGTCCGTTTCATTTCAGCGTTTACGCGAGCTGGTAGACGGTGTGGGCATATTTTCGGATTCGGAAAGTCGTTTTCGCGTCGTTTCGAGGATTTCAGTGAAGTGTCAGTGATCATGGTGTGCTGTGTGCGAGTGTCAAACTCGCAGTGAAAGCCAGTGTCGGAGTGAAATTGTTGATGTGATGACAGTTTAGCGGCGAAAATGGCCTCAAGTTCCACTTTCGAGGCGAAAGTGCTGATGGCCAAAGGCAAGCGGGCGACGGCCGCGTACATCCACGCCGACTGCTCCAACAACCCCTGCCCCCAGCACCTCAACGCCGTGCTGGACAGCCTCCTCAACCCCGCCAAGTCGATCGACGAGTGGGAGACCATCGACTGGTGCAAATGGCTGATGGCCGGGGGCAGGACCCCGGACGAGTTCGCCAACACAGGTAAAGGCGGCGGCGGCGGCGGTTTTCGGGCCGGATGGCACCGGTGCCAAAGAAACGGCCTTGAACGGCCCCAGGTCGCTCTTGTGGAACGTGGTGGCGTCAACGGCAAGAGCTCGCGTTGCATCATTAACTCGCGGATTTGCGAGGTGATGGGGCGGTTTGTCGTCACGTGATGCAAATTGACGTACGTCGTGGTTGGCATGTGGGGTTAGGGAGACATTTTATGTGGCCTGTCTTCGTTTTAGAGTTCAAGTTCGCATTGTTGCCAAAAACGAGTATTGGGGATTATTTGCGGCCGCCCAAGGGTACCTTTCCAGGTAGTTTTAAGTTGCTTCCAGGTAGATTTGTTTTTTACTGGGGGAGAAAGAGAATGTGAGCCGAGGGCTAGCGAAAGTGATGAAGTGTCGTCTTCCTGGTTGGGTCAGGGGATTTTTTTTTGTATAAAATATTAGTCATGCCAGATTTTTGATGATACATTCTGAAGGGATGCAAGTTTGAAAAAACTTCTGCGTGGGGTGGTGATATAAATCCCATATTAAATCAATATGGTTGAAGGTCAGATTTTGCCCTTAAATAACGTTGAGGGATTTCTTGATTTCACATTTCAATATTCCTTTGTGTAGTAGACAAAGTTTAGAACTTACAGTGTAGTTCATATGTCCTAAATTGTTCAGCTAACAATAGAGTAAAGGTGTCCTATGTGTTTAAATACAAAATTGGTCGAAGATTATTTCAACAGAACTTCCCTCGCCCCTAAAGTAGAGTACATCAAATCCAGCTGTTTTGAAAAATTATAAGATTTGATTTCTCTAGATTTGGCTCAGCTTCCGCTGGCCTGGCCCTAGCTACGGCTCTCTCTAGCTAGGGGTCATGAAGCCTCAAGAAAATATGAAAATACCAAGTCGCCTGATGGACCCGATTTCTATGCATAGTATAGTATCCCAAATACAAGGTTACGGGCTATAAATCAAGGGTTTGCCTCAATATTTTGCCACCTCAATATCTACCGCTGGGTAATCCGCTTAAAGATTTTTGGTACATTAAACCAAATATAATTTGTTCATGTTTCGACGGTCGGGAGCAGGTACAGTCACAAAGATTTACAACTGTGGGTTTGCCTTATTAACTGCTCCATTGTCTTCACAACACCCTAATTTTACAACAGTCAGATAATTGTAGTATTTGGGAGACTTTACCTTAGCTTACGCTCAATTTGTAAAAATGAAGAATATCTCGAAAGTGAAAATTTCTCAAGTCGGTTTGAAATAATTGTGAAAAGTAGATTCAATAATGAATGTTTTTTATTGAGGCTAGATTAAGGTAGCACATTTAAATGAAAGACAATCTAATAGTAACTATAGGTTTTTTTTGATTGCTGGTTATATTATGAACTACACACAGAGACGTTGGTTTACACATAGTTCAGTATGGTAACAATCAAGTTCAACACCAACTAATTAATACAGGGTGTCATTTTTATTTGATAGGTATAACACCTGTAACTTTTTTATTTTTGAAGATAGGTCCTTTGTTCTTCGGACAAATTTGTCTCCTAGAAGAGCTGTTTCATAATAAACTGATTGTTTTAATTTACCTTTCCGGTAACACGGATTCATTTTATATTTTTAAATGGGACATCCAGTATATTTTTTAATAAACGAATCGTTTTCATTTTTTACCACAAAAAATCACAAACAACCAATATTCTTCTAAAATTAATAATAAAAAAGCTATTCAGCAGACTAATTGAAAAATTAATATTTCTTTATGAAAATCTAGTGTTCATGAAATTTAATTAAAATAATTTTTTGAATATTTCGAATATATTTTTCTAAACGTCTAAAATACCAGAAGAAACAAAGTATTAAATTTGAATACACCAAGAGTGCAAGTATTTCTCACAACAAATTTTCAAAAATATCTAGTTTGATCGATTCACATTTTTGCACGTCTATAAATGCCCTGTGTGGCATTCGCTATAAAGTGTGGGTTTAATGTTGTGTAAATCTCTCTGATGCATTGTTTCAAGATATCTTTGTCCCTCCATTCATCAAAGCATTATCTTTTATGAAACCACGAAAGAAATAATCAAGGGAGTTCAAATCAGGCGAACTTGGAGGCCGTCTTATTGGGCCTTTATTCTCCATTCAACGATCTTGAAACATTTTTGTTAAAAAATATCCACGTTTCTCACGTTGTAAGGTGGTGCCCCATCTTGTTGAAAATATAAGTTTTGGACGTGATTCACCGGTAAGTTATCTAAGTAGTAAATATTGCTCAGATATTTAAGTTGATATAAAAAAAGTATGGTCCAATTAAGGTATTATTTACCATGCTAAGCCATAGATGAAATTTCCAAGTTCTTTGGATTTTCCTTCGTTTGAATAAATGCAAATTTTCAGTAGACCAATAGTGAGTATTGTATTTAGTGAAAATGCCTTGTTGATGAATGAAGCTTCATCGCTACAAATAATGTTTTCAAAAATAATTGTACTTTTTGGCTTCTTATTAGTAGACATTCTGCTATTTCCTGTCGTCTGGCAAAATCACTTACTTCAAGATGGTGGTTTCCATATTTAAACTATTTTCAACAAAAAACATTGAGCATCGTATTGTACTCCCAGTTTAAAGTGATTTTTATGATAAATCCCTAGCCATTAATAAAAAAGTGGTCGGTTCCTTACAAGGGCCGTACTTTGTTATTCCACTCATATTGTCCGTCATGGGGTAATAATGAGGTGATAATGTTTATTATCTTGTCATAAAAACCATTTTAAACTGGGAGTACAATACCATCATCTTCGGTACTATTGGCGAATTTTCTCTTTTTCACTTTGAAGTTGAACAGACTTCTGTTTTTTACATTGTTGATAATTAAGATAAAACTGATTTTAGCAATGATATACCCTCTAAGAAAAGAGAGGGTGGGTGGGCGGGGCTAGTAGCTGCCAAGATAAAACTGATTTTGGCAAATAAAATACCCTCTTAGAGAATATAGGGCGGGTGGGCGGGGCTAGCTCTTGCTAAGATAAAACTAATTTTGGCAGATGCCATAGAATAAGAATAGAGAGGGTGGGTGGGTGGGGCTAGTAATTGCTAAGATAAAACTGATTTTGGCAATGACATACTCTCTAAGAAAAGAGAGGGAGGGGGGGCGGGGCTAGTTGCTCCCAAGATAAGACTGATTTTAGCAAATGACCTATCCTTTGAGAAATTTGATTAAATTATTATAAGAAAAGACACTAGAGGCTCCAAAGCACTTTCAAATTCCTTCCAAACAGGAATACTTAGAACACGATCGTACGAAAATAGTGTTCGTTATCGAAATTTTCCAGAAGTACCTACTGCAATATTATTGTTTTGAGCTATTACAACAATGATAAAGCTCCAAAAATATGAACAATCTTTTTGTTACAAGTGTCGAACTAAAAATCAAACACCTATTTTTCAAGTTAGGTTTGAATTGTTTTACTAAATAATTTTTTGATTATTGACTTTAGAATATTAGTTTGATTTGGATTTTTGTAGTAAAAAAGCAAGCTTTCCGTTTATAAAAAAATATACCGAGTGATTTTTTTAAAACAGTGAAGACAGATTTAAAATTATACAAATCTGCTCAAAGAATTATAGATTTATCTTTAAAAATAAAAAAAGTTACAGGCGTTGTACCAAATAAAAAAAGAGTTTTTGAGAGTCTTATGAAAACTACTACATTAAACTGAAGTGTATAATCGAAAAGAAAACTCCATCAAGTCAGTTATGGAATCAATTTTGTAGAAAAAGCAAGTAAACTCTCTAATGCAAGCAATAGAAGAATTTCACGAAAATTTTCCAAAGTAGCTGAAAATCTGCGGGTGACGATTTAATCTTGATGCTTTGACAGGTTTCTTGAGTAATACGAAAATCTGGCAGTGGCAAACCAGTTAAAAGGACGGTAAAAAGTATAACAGATGCAGAACGGCGTATGGACACTCGCTTAAAAAATCCACCCGAAGGCTGTCCCAACAAACTGGTCTGTCAGACGGAACATACCAGCTAATTCGAAAGAAAGTTCTGGGTAAATTTCCTCACGGATTACGTTGTGAGCAAGAGCTCAAACCTGTCGATTATCCAAGCCGTTTCAAAATCACATGAACAGTGACATTCTTATCAAAACCTTTTTTACCGACACCGCTGGCACCGAAACGATTTTTTATAACCCTTCATTCAGGAACTGATATTTTATGATGCCACCGCCCACGAAACTAGTGAGACAATAGACCTGATGCATGAATTTTGTTGAACGCTTGACAGATTTTCTTCCAAGGTTCTCTATTATTTTGTCCTTCCTGAATTGAAGAATACATCCGATAAATGAACTCACAGAGGCGATTTAGAGCGCGTGCAATTAAATCACTCTTCAAGATTTAACAAAATAAATAAGATCAAGTGCTAGTGTGAACTGAAATTGAAGAACCCAAAATATTAGTTATTCCCGATTGTTAATAATAAATTTTTAAGTGAGACAAGTTTGAAATAACCGCTGCGTGGGATGCTGATATAAATCCCATATTAAATCAATATGGTTGAAGGTCAGATTTTGCCCTTAAATAATACTTGGGAGATTACCTTAAGTGCTTTAAAACAAAAATTTTAATCATTGCGAATATTTTCCGCTGGTGCAACTAGTAGACTTTCTCGGACTTTTGAAAGTAGTAAAAGTAAGGAACGTTATTCTGGTTAAATTTCTTTTAAAACTGTCTGTTTAGGTCAAGTTCCGCCGATCAATGGACATTTGACGTCTGACGTTTAAAGCATTTTTTTTGTGAAAAATACAAGCATAATTTTATAAAAACTAGCACAGAAAATGAAGTTTGATTTAACAAAAATTAATAATCCGCTTGACCGAACAGTTAATGTTTACTTTGATGATTTGTTCACGGTTATTTCCTGTCGCATTACTTGTCACTCAAGGTGGACCGACAGCAGCGAAACAGATCCGTATTTGCAGTTTTCCAGAA